GGGTCAGCCATTTGGTCCATAAAGGGAGAAGAGCCCCTATATTGCAATGGTTTTTGCGTAACCGCTTTCGAAGAGAAATCTCGTATATGCGGTGTAACGTACACCGATATTATCGTTGGAAAAGGTACAATAACCGTATCGATTATGCAACGAATCCATGCATTTAGTGACCGCCACTATATAATTCCCAGTTGTAAAGTTTCTATATCGTCCCGTTTTGTAAAAGCGATGTCGCGTCGTTGTATCCTCGTTTCGCCCTCCCCCTCCTCCCATTATCTACGGCTATTTATTGTCACGATAATTCTCTTATGAGACGAGGATCTCGTTGTTCTCGTTCGCGCCACGCTCGCGCGATCGTGTAAAAACTTCGTGCCCTTCTCTTTTTTTCTTTTCCTTTTTTATTTTTCTAACGATAATTACACGCGCACGAAGCTCGTCCTCGGCTAAGATAGAAAAATACAAGGTATTTCGCCCCATAATTTTTATTCTAATTACGTCAATATACAATTTGCTCCTTTCCTTTACCGAAGAAGTTGTTAATTACTAGACTGCGGATTTTTATGTAGGCGCGTGATATTCATCCTGTATGTATTCTCTGTATAGTAATATAATTAATATCCAAAAAATACATATAAAATAATACATATAAAAATATGTATACATATATTCGCGTAAAAATCCACAATCCAAATAATTACAATAACAATTTCTCTAAGGAGAAAGGGAATGATTGAATAAGCTAGACTATTCTCGTACGAAGTTTTATTTTAAGCCATCGAAATAATCTGCCAACACCGTTTGCGCCGCGGGATCGATAGGTCACGATGGGTGTGCATCGACGAATGCTGGATGACTTTGATTAATAAATTTCCAAATGTATTTGCCCGTTAAATTACACATTTCCCTACTGTCGCTACATCCAACGTGACTTGCCACGTTATACAACGAGCACGGGTTAAATAAACAGTTACATTTATCGCGATAAGAGTCGGTTCGAAGTTTTCGTTATCGATAATATTTCGACGCGATGAACCCCGAATCATCCGCTAATTATTTTTTGAACGACGATGAAATATCGAGTTAATCGAATCACGTGAAAATTCCTCCACGACTTCTCTAATCTCCACTTTTCTTTTCCGCTCTCACGTGAGTAAAAAACTCGTCGTCGATCCGAAGTATCGTATTCGAGACAATGTTCCACTCGCGAGCAACTTCCTTTTCGTCCCTTCTTCTTCGACCCCTCTCTCTCTCTCTCTCTCTCTCTTTTTTCCTATCTCGATTCTTTACACTTTATATTTTAGCCTTTACGCTGACGATATCACGTGCAACGAGAAGCATAAAAAGCAACGAGCATCTTGGGGAAGCCGCAGAATTCGAACATCGACGAATGGAAGAGGAGGAGGAGGAGGAGGAGAAGGAAGCTCTTCGCCTTGAAACGCGTCGCTCGTTGTTTCGTTAAATATCGTTCGATTCCGACATTGGGGCGAATGGAAAAATGGAATAGAAATTTCTAAAAATTTCTATCTACGAGCAGAATTTTTCGATATTTTTTCCCCCCCTCCTCCGCGAACGATAATTGAACGTAAAAGAGAAAAAATAGGACAGGAAGAGACAGGGGAGAAACGTTGTCGAATCGTCGTTGTTGCCTCGCGAAATTGTATCATCCGTGCCCCGAGTGAACGAGATTTCGAACTCTTAATGAATGAATACAATGCATCCCCTCCTCCATATTTTTCCCCCCCGACGGCAATGGAATTCTGATGCAAATTCTATTGGGCGAACCAATTATCCCTTTATAGTAGATATTGGAAACGCGCGACATCGGATCTCGTTGAATTATTATTCGAACCGCGTAAAAAAGAGGGAGAAATTTCACGAGGGGGGGACGAGTTTCGAAGGAATAATGTTACGCGTATTTCCCGTTTTACGTTTAAAATACACAATGAATTTGCACGAATTTTTACAATATTTCTTTTCGCGTTGTTATCAAAATGGTTCCGAAAAGAAAACTCGAGATCCTTCTTAAATTATCGATTGACTGATTTTTGAAATTTCGAAGAATCGAAGCTTGATCTTTTCGAAACGCGTGGATTCAACAAGTTAGCCGGTTTCTTTTCGGATAGAGAGGGGTTTAAAAGAGGGTGTAACGTGTGAGATTCGCGAGAGATCTAGATTAAAGGAAATAAGGGCTGTCGGCACACAGATACCTCGGTCTTCTTTATCCCACGAACGAGCGTTCCACGAGAAAATTCCCTTCGTCTTTCTTGTCCCTCCTCTCTGTCCCTGCCTTCTTGCGATAAGAGATACTCTGAGGATACTTAAAAGAACGAATGGAAAATTTGGATAAATGATTCATCAACTAATGATGAATGATCGATAAGTTTCGAGTATCTTGCGTCCTTCTTGTTGAGGCGTTCCAAAGATGTACACAAACTGACGAATATATATTCGTGGAATCGGATTATGTTTTGTTTGGTTTGTACGATATTTCTTGGAAGTCGAGTGACTTGGCTAGGAGTGTTTTTTCTCGAGTATAACGTTTACAACGAGTCGTGAGAATATTCTTTGTTTTCAATCGAGGGGTCTAGTGCGAGAGAGAAAGAGAGAGAGAGAGAAAGAGCTATAATAGTTTCACGAGGTATTAAGAGTTTTATGAAAAATAGCGTAGTAGTTATATCCTTTAATTTTGTCATTTTTTTTCTTTTTTTAACGAAACCGTGTTTCAATTAAACGAAAATTCCGCGAGGTATTTCTCTCTTGCACAGGAATTAAAAGTAGGAAAACAGTCGTTCGCGTATATAATTATAATAGAAACAGAAATTTCGCTATTTTACGAATTAAAAAAGAAAGAAATAATGATTAATGACATCAAGAGAATTAATCTAAAAATCTAAATTAAATTAATCTAAATCTAAATCTAATTAAAGAATAATTCTACGTTGCGAAAACGATACGAAGAACGGATCGAAATAGAACAGCGGAGACAAGTTGTTCGAATCGGTAAAAAAGGAAAGGAAGGAAGGAAGAGGGAGGATTTTTCTTTTCTCCAAACATCTCCACGCGAAAGATTGAAACGAAATTCACACGCTTATTTGCGCCTATCCGAATCGAGAACGCATAAAATCCCGTTTATTATTAGCTCAAATGGGATGAATCCCCGCTATTCAACAGTAAAATAGCGGTTTGATAGGTTAGTCGCTAATGAAACGAAGCTATCGACGCAATTAGCCAAGTTCCCCGCGAATAACAAAGCTTCGTTGACTTTGGAATTTTTAACCGGACGCCTCTCGATCGAGCACGGCCAAATGGAAGGCGATGCTTGAAAGCTTCGAATGAGAACGCATAAATTTCTTTGTTACCAGGGGGAAGGGAAGGGGGAGGGGAGGGAAGAGGAGGAAAGGGGGAGAGGGAAAAACGCGAGAGAAAAGACTCGTTTCGATTCGAAGGTATTCTCTAGATAAAACGAACGCTGGTATTTGTTACGATTCCTTTTCTTTTTTGTCTTTTTTTTTTCGATTCAGAGAAAAAATTACCTGTTCCTAATTATTCTAGTTCGAGATTACTCGTTGGAGATACATCGTTTTTTTTTTTTTTTTTAATCCTTTCATGCTCGACAATTGCGTGCACGCAACTATTTATTAATTAACCAACAAATTTTCTCTCGATAAAACTTTACCTTTTTTTATCGTGTGTTTCTACTATTGATAATCGAGACAGGGGATAAATAAATAAATAAATAAAATTTCGATCATGAAAGGATTAATAAAAAATGCTCGCTGATCCCTATTCGACGATATTTTCCACGAGAACAAACGAGGTAAGGATCCTTTTCACGCTCAACGTTGCTTGTGCGCAACAAATTATGTCGTTTTCGAAACAAAACTATTAGATTTAGATCGTATACTTTTTATGCTTTGATAATTGATAATAGGGAATTAAAAAATTTGCATGAAAGGTATAAAGAATAAGAATAATCGTTCGAAAACGACCGATCCACGTATTCGACGATTTTTCCGACGGGAATAAACGCGTAAATCTAATTTACGTCGTAAATAAATTACCAAAAAAATAACATATCGATATTAAATATTATAAAATACCGAATCGAATTTACGTACGGATTAAAAAACGGACGAAAAAACGTGGTCGAAGAGGCCGCCATTATCTGCACACCCGCATACGACGAATCGACACTTATCCGTAATCGTAACGCGCGAATAATCGATAAAAAATAATTAAATCGTAAAAAAAAAACACGATACACACGCGAAAAACGTAAAATTTAAAAATTTTACATCGACGAAATAGCGGTGCGCACGCTTCGATGTCTCGATAAAGACTAAACACCGAACGGTCGCGACGTATTATGGTTACGACCTTCGCCTCGAGCTCGAAATTCGTGGAATTATTAACGAGCGAATAAACACACGGAACCGAAACAAACTTCGATATCGTAATATATATAATATATATAAGGAAAAAAGAAATGTCTCTGTTGTTGACAAGTAATGATACGATATCACGGTTCGTCGAACGCGTCTTTTTTACTGGCTCGAGAGATTTTTACACTTTTTGAGCACAAGTGTCGGATCTCGCGCAATTTATGCGTGTATTTTTTTTTCCTTTTAATCCTTTGCCATCGATTTTGACATTTTTCGTTAAAAAAATATTATGGAAAAAAAAAACATACGACAAAAAAATATTACGATTCGATTAATTAAATTTAACAATAATTTTAAAATATTTACACGATTCACTTTTGCAAAATTTTTTCTTTTTTTTTTTAAAAAATATAATTTTTCGAATAAATAATTAGAATTATTTCGTTCCCTTTAAAGTTAAATTAATTCCTTGAGAAAAAAAAAAGAAAAAAAGAAACCCCATCTTCGATATTTTTCCACCCCATTTTTCTCGTCTCGATGAAAATTCGTCGAAAAAGAAAATAAAAAAAGAAAAAAAAAATGACAAACGCGAGCTCGTTCCTAAAATTTATCTCATACCTGAAATCTCGACGCAGCGATCCAATCTCAGCGGACGACGAAACGCATTATCGTTGGTGCACGATCCGAATGCGTGACTGCCCTCGTCCGTGGGATGCCTTGTTCCGTTGCCACGTGATCCGTGAACGACGATGCAATCCACCAGCTCGCACAGACGTGGACAATTTGAACGTTCAAAACGTTGTATCATTAGCGAGACCACAGTGGCGAGGCCACGAAGGGGGTGTTAGGTACCGCGCTGTTTTCGTCCCTTTAACGCTAGCCCTGCCGGCTGTGTCGCATTATCGGCCGAGACACCTACCAGAAATACCATTAGCGGCCATTTATTTCGGACGAATACCCAATCACGACGGCCGATAATCTATAGTGTCGACCACGTTTTAGCGGCAGCTGAAAGTGAAGCCAGCCACCTGCACCCATCTCGGCCTCCCCTTTTTTTTTTTTTTTTTCTTTTTCTCCTTTCAACGTGCCGCGAAACGATGGAAACGGTTTTTATCCCGACACTGTTCTAGAGACTGGAAACTGTAAACCTCGTTCAACTGCGTGTATCCGATCGATCGAGGGTGGGAACCGAGCGTTTACCAAACTTTCTCACGTGTCCATCGCGACAACGGTTCATTATCTTTCCAACCCTTCTTCTCTCAACGGGATATCCCTTGCCACCTAAGCTTGTCCACGCCACGATATCGCGTTGCTCTTCGAGCAATGTTACGGGGCGACATAGGATGAACCCATTCTCTAGAATAATCACAGTGTTTGGGACGAACCAAGGAAGGAAGGAGAGAGAGGAAGGTGCGACGCGGATTTGCACGGGTTCCTATAAATTTTCCTACGTTTTCGGGAAGTGGTAGATTTTCGAAAAGTGTGGCGCGGGTTAAAACTTTCGGCCACAGCTAGTTTACCGTGAAACGAAGGGCTCAATCTCGTAAACTTGTGACCAAGCACAGCAGGTTTCGTGGAGGTTGGGGGTTGGCTTTGAGGCGAACGTGTTGATGTTTGCTCCACCGGAGAATGCCCGAGGAAATTATTTCACGAATGGAATTCGAAATCGTTCGCGGAAATAACTCTTGAACGGAGATCGGTTATTGTAAGGAGTGACTTTTCGTGGAGATCGAAAATTCTCGATTGAATCTGGAGATATCCTTTTTTGGGGGGGAGGAAGGGAGGGAGCGAAATAGACAGCAGACGGAATAAAGTTATTACTTGTTATTACTTGTCTCGAAATCCTCCTCGGGAAAAATATCTACTCTACGCTCCAGAAATCTTTCGAAATCTTCTTACAATCATACACTCCACCGGATAAGAACCGTTCGATTCTCTTTTTAACGAATCGGTGAGTAGACGATTCAGCTTCGTCTTGCAATTAACTTTTACAGTTTTCAATCCCCTTGCTTCGATCAAAAGCTAACGACGAGCCGAATATGTCGAAACGAAATAAAAAACGAAAAGAGAGAAAGAGAGAGAAAGAGGGAGGAGAAGAAAAAGAAATTCAATCTGACGAAACGGCGAAAAAAAGAAAGACGTCTCGAGGAAAAGGTCAACCGACCACTTAGTTCTTAATCCTCTCATCGAGTTTCAATTAATACACGTCGGCTATGATTATTCAACATTCAGAAGGGGAGGGGGAGTCAATTAATTTGGTTGGTGGCGATTTAAAATCGTCCATCACGACGGACTTGAACGTCGAATTCTTCCCTCTTCCAGTTTCTTCTATTTTCCCCCTCCCTTCTCCATGGATTAAGGAAATCATTCCTCGGGAATGAAGTCGTTGCAGGAATTTTTGTAGGCCGATAAGGCGAATTGAATCCGATAAGAGGATCAAGGAGATGAATTTGTGACCGCGCTTAATGAACGGAACGAAAAGCAAATAGGACGAAAGCACGAGGAATCGAACGTACCACGCAACGACAAAATATTCTTATATTGTTCCGTTTCAGATCTATAAAAGAGTAGAGTACTTTGAAAGATGTAAATTTTTATGATAAAATTTCTCTTCGATAATTTCTTTCTTTCTTTCTCTCTTTTCTTTTTCTTTTTCTTTTCTTTTTTTTTTTTTTTTTGAAAGAGATGAAATTGAAGAACGAAGCAGAAACATCGAGCAAATCACGAGCATCGCAACACCTTATGTAACGCGTAATTGTTTCCCTTATGTCGGGAACGTTCAAGTATTTCTGGCGCGCGATGGTGGGACAAAGGTGACCCTGTTAACGACCTTTCTTAATCCACCGACCACGTTACGCTCCGTCGAGCGAGGGTTGTCATGCTCGATAAACCAATAAATTTTAATAATCGCCGGTCGAGAGGCTAACAAAGGGCCCAACCCATCGGCCTGAGATCGAATTTCTCTTATTCTTTCGACGACGCATGGAGAGGAGGATCCGCGATGGAATTTTAAAAACGATACGGAAGAATATCTCTACGGCTTCGAGAAGATATTTCACGTATTTCATAACGATGGAAAAAAAAAAATCTCTTTATAAGAGTTTGAAAGAGTGTGTGTGTGTATGTGTGTGACTCGTTTTGCAAAGAGCAGGAGTTGCAGATATCGTCGAAATTCAAATTATTCTTCCTGAAAGTATCTTCGTATCGATAAAGAAGGAAGCGGAAACGATCATGCCCAACATCATCCCCTATCTCGTTAAGATTATTGACCCACTAAACTGCAGAAACTCGAGAATTCCCTCCCTCCTCCGTGGAGGAGGAAGAAGGAAAGAAAATTGCAGGCCGACATTCGTTCGACGAACGATCCTCTGTCCGTGATCAAATATTTGCATTTGGAAAAATCGAGCAATTATATAAAAGAAAGCTGCGACCACCTTTTGTACGCCAACTTTCGATTAATCGTCCAAGTTGCGGCCACGAAAGCATCGAAGCTTGAAGGAAAACAACAATAGATCTCTCTCTCTCTCTCTCTCTCTCTCGTCGAATGGAACGATCTCACCGAAACTTGGCCCCGTAAGTACCAGTTTCTCTGAGAGAAACGTAATTACGATGTGCGCGCGATTGTCCCGTCTACCCAACCTAACCCACGAATAAGAGAATCTGCCTAGGGTGATTCGAGAAAGAGGGCAAACAGCAACCATGTGTGTCCCTTTAATGGGAAAACTCACTAGATAACGTGGTTACCAACCGTTGTCGCTTCGGGAGGAGAGCTTTGCGGGGGCGAGAAAAGCCTAGTAGTAGTGGAAAAAGCGTGGAAAAGGAGGGGTGAGATTGCTCGATCTCCAAGAGGAACGGACGGATGGTCGGTCGAAAAGGAACGCAATTGTAATTGTGATTGCACGATTCTCGGAGAGAACGAAGCCGAGAAACTTGGATACGGACATTCTACGGATCTAAATGTTATCCACGACTCGATTTATCTTCCGCAAGGTGAAGGGAGGAAAATCCAAGGGTTGGGGGTCAAAGGTCGTCGGGATTTTAATAAATAAAACGGCCCCTCTCGGTCAAGGAAGATTCAATTTGTTCAGCTGACCGACAATCTATGAATCCGTCCGATCGGGGCGGAGGAAGAAAGCGAGAAATTCGGTGATCCGTGGAATTTAGATTGCACACGCTGATACTCGAGATCAAAAGGGGAAACGGTGGAGAACGATTCGTACGACGATCGGCCGAGAAAGAATCGGTTGATAACCGTGATTTCCGTGGATAACGATAACGATATTCTCGATCACGAGGATTCGATCGCGCCTTTTGCTTTTCCCTTTCTTTCTTTTCTTTCATCGATACGAAACGATCGAGTCGAAACAACCATCTTATCGCTTTTTTTCCTCCGCTGGAATTTTTATCGCGGATGACGAGATAACGTTCGGAGAACAACTCGGTATAAATTCAATTTATCGGGCGGCTAAATCCCGAAATCGAATATCTCGAAAGGAGGGAAGAGGATTAAAGATGATGATGGGAGAAGCGCGTTTCGATCGTATAAAATTAGTGTTGTAGTTAATCGATTGTTCTTCAAAGGATGTTAACCTTTTTTCATAAAGGGAAGGGAGAGGGGACGGCAAGAAATGAAATTTGGGTACGAGAGCAGTACTCGTGAAATTCCGAGAATCGTATTCCCATTTAAAAATAACGGGAAGGGCGGAAAAAGGGAACGAAAACGATAAAGCGTTTCATTCAAAAGCTTTCGAAAAGTGGAACGTTTTTTCTCTCTCTCTCTCTCTCTCTCTGCCGGTATATCCCTTCCTACTTTTTTTGCGAGAGATTCGTTCGCCAACAAGCGAGAGATCTGAGAACGAAAGATTCAATCTGTCGGCCGATTCGAACGCGAGGGATCCACTTTTTCGAGGAGATAGAAAAAGAGAGAGAGAGAAGACGCGAGTTACAGGGCACGAAATTTCGACGCGTGAAATTGAAACCCGTGACCATCTCACCTCGAAGCGACGATCAACCCTGTCGCTTACTCCATTTTATATCTGTGACGTGGATGGCCATTGAAACGCGCCCGTGCAAGTGAATAACCTCTTTCACCGTGGATCCACCAGAAATTATCAGAATTGCAGAATAGTATTAAAAAAAAAAAAAAAAAAAATAGAGAGCGTATCTCCGATCTTTTAAAATCGAAACGATTTTTCTCTCTATCGCGAGATTTGTTTCCATATCACGATCGTACTATGGATCGAGAAACGAAAGTCGAAGATTGCAAAGATAGGGATGCACGCAAATTTCCTCCCTTCTCACCTTTCTCGTCGAGCACAATCGAACAACAATTCGCGATGCTCCTTTGCTTCCTTCGAGTACTTTACTCCCGCTTTAAGCACTATGTAAATCGTGGAACGAAAAGAGGGTACGGTCATCCTTCTTTTTTTCCTCTTTCTTTTTTTTTTCCTTCCCCTCCCTCTTCTCTCTTCAAAGTTCAAACGAGGCTCGTAACGGCGACAATGTAAGCGCGAATGTACGTTTGACACGGTCACTGAACTTTCGATCGAAAGAGAAATTTTCGATTTTCTCTTGGGATCTCCGGGAGGGGGGAAACGGAGCACAATCCAACGAGCAAATATCGCGAATAGAAGCTCTAGTGTTTGCCATCCTAAGCCTCGAATAACAAGAAGGTTCACCCACGATGACGAATCCTCTCCCTCTTCTTCTTCTTCTTCTTCTTCTTCTCTTCTCCTCTCCTCCCCTCGAAGAAGAAGGCGAAAACCGAAAACTTTTATCGAAACCTTCGATCGAAAACCTTGGTCGATCCAAACTCGATCTCAATCACGGTGCGCGTCCGATCCACGGTGAAAGAGCCGAAGAGAGACGAAGGGAAGCAAGGGAATCGTAAAGAATGAGAAAGATCGATTTAAAATTGCGACGACACGACCATCCCGGCCACTCTGCGGCCAACAAACCGAGCAACAAGTTATACACCATAACAAACGTAACCCTCGGAAAGAGTTCGTCGTTTCTTCACTCCTCAAATCTCGTAAGAAAAATTCGGGCTAGAACGAGATCCGCCGAAAATCCCCATTTCCTTTCCTTTTCATCGATCTTTCCCGCGATCGATCCTTCCTTTCACCGTCGCGGGATCTCGCGTCACGACGATGAATCACGCGACGAAACTGCCACCACGAATCCAGCCAGCGCGGAAAGCGCTGGAAATCGGGCGAAACGTGGGAGAGGGAGGGTCAATTTGTCACTGATGAACCGTGGGATGAAAAGGACGATACCGTGGTAGAGGCTTCCAAGTTGTCACGGATCCAGGCAGCCGCCGGATCTTCGGGGCCCCGTCCGCTCGATTTCCGACTGGGAAACGATTGGTGGTTGTCCTCGACGTACGACGCGTAAACAACGGGGGGAGGGTGAGGGGGGAGAGATAGGGGGAGAAGAAGGAGGAAGAGGAGGAGGAGGAGGAGGAAGAGGAGGAGGAGGAGGAGGAGGAGGAGGAGGAGGAATATCGATATCCAGCGGCGAAACGAGGAAAGCGACGAGAAGGGCGCGATGTTTGGAACGATACGGTGGTCCGGAGTACCGTGCCAGTACTGGTACTGGCGAAGTTTGTTATCGAGTAGCGGCGAGAGGAAAAGCGGGCAGGGTGGTGGCAGCTCCGCTTGGCTGACAAGTAGGCAGAGATGGTATTACGCAGGCGCCAACTCTCGGCTCGGCTCGGCGGCAACCTTCCACCCTCTCCCCCTCCTCCCTAACAATCCCCCTAAACTCGAGTGTTCAGCCGCCCTACACGGTCAGCGATGCCACCTACACCGTCACCCATCCTCGGAACGCCTTATCTTCTCTTCTCCTCCGTTCGAGGATGTCCTGTTTCGCGACCTGTGCACCAGTGCGATCCCACGGATTAATCACGGTCGCGAAATATCGACCCGCTCCTTCGTATCTGTTTAGTTTTTTAGTTTATTCGTTTATTTATCCTTCTTTTTCCATTTTTCGAATAATAATCCGGGAGATAAAGACGAAAACGGGATTTATTAAATCGATACGGTGTTTTCTTTTAAAAGTTTCGCTCGAAACGAGATTCTGATATTCTATTGTTAGAGACTGTTTGTCGGAGAGTATCTTTCGCGATATATTTCAATTTCCTGCGGGGATGAGATAATGGAGAAATAACGAAGATAACGAGTCTAACGACAAAATATCGCGAACGATCTAAATTACCGCCTCGTTCTTCGTTCGAATGGAACATAAAAAAATGAGCGAAGGAGGAGGAAACGTTCAGAGTTTGGATTCTCTCGAAGAATTACAAGCGTCGAATCAACTTTGTCACCACGACTCTGTTTCCTCTGGATACTCCATCAACTCCCGTCCCAAGGGAGGGAGGCAACCTTCCCATCTTTCCCCCAAGCTTCCCAAAATTCGATCGAATCGTCCTGCTGGAAATATAACCGAATCGTCGACTTCTCTAATTGCGACGAATCCTTCGATCGTCGAGAGGGGAAACAAATTTTCCAGCTCCAGTCACGAACAATCGGATCACCGCTTCGATTAACGATTTCGTGACTCTCGGATCCCGCGATAGGAACCACCCGGTTCGTGCGTTTTTCGCGCGAATAAATTTTCCGTGGCGCGGCGTTGAAACGAGCGCATTCCGGATTTCCGATGGGGAGGGATCCAGGCGGAATAACATCTCGGTTAACCGAGATTCGATTATCCAAATTTTCCATTATCGGATCTCGATTATGACATTGGCCATCCTCCAAGCCTCGCGTATGAAACGTACACGTTGTTCCGCGTGTTCGACGAGAACCGCGTACATCGGAGCGAGGGATCGAAAGCACATCGCTTTTCGACTTTCGTTCGTTCGTTCATCGCTTATTTCCTCTTTTAATCAATGACGCCACGATGGACAAACAACCGCGTAACCGTCGTTGTTTAGAATGATCTATATTACCTCCGGATTCCCCCATTGACGATCAACGTCGTCGTATAGACCTTTATTCTATTTTCAATATTCCCCTTCTGGGTATATATATATATTGATAGGGAGCTTTATCACGTAGGGATCGACGAAGCCTCAGGTGCCCTTTAATCACCTAGCTTCGAGCCTGATCGACGCATATATATATGAAAACGCACGTGTTACAATCGATCGAGTAAGACTCGGTAATTGTGAGACGATCGCGATTTTGTTCGTTGTTTGAGTGAACATGTCACACATCCTGGTGCGTTCTCCTCGAACTCCTCACTGCAAACTGTCGACTAGCCGCGCGAATTCGTTGCAACTCCAGCGGATACCTACTCCAATTCTCGAGGATCTCTCTTGCTTCAAACTTGCAGAAATCTGCCGTTATTTCCAACGCGAACTCGATCCAACCTTAGTCCAATCATCTCCGATTCATGGGATCCCACTTCGACACGCTTGAAATCGCGGCAACCTCCCCCTTATATCGAGCTTATATACGAAGAGAACGAGGTTCATATCGCTCGCTCCCATATCGAATACACCTGCACTCGCTTTATAGCCATAATTTAATTTGAAATCGTTCGATCGACAACATTGATCGCGCCCAATTTGATAGTAGTTTGGACGGCTTCAAAAAGCCTGGATCGATACATTTATATACGAGGGGAAGATCGCGTCATATGTCCCGTTGCCTGTTATTGAACACATATTTAATTTCGAGCATCTCGCCCAATTTCGCCTCTCGATATTTTATTAAATCGTTCTCGAGTTTTTTTTTTTTTTTTTTGATCCAACATTTACGAAATGTGCAATCGTTTGTTATCAATTGAAAATCGAGGGTCCGATATTTGGCCAATAATTGCGCGATCTTGGCATCCCCTTCGTCTCGTGGATAAAAAGAACGTGCGCGGGAATTTCGAAAGGTTGGGGATTCTTCTTCAAGTTCGCCAGAAAATGGAACGAAGAGTAACAATTCCTAGAAATATGAATTCTTCCGATGAAACGTGTTATCTTTGGAACGAGATTGAAATCCACACGTGTGTCCTTTCTTACTTCGGATTCTTTATTAAAAAAAGAAATCTCGCGTCACGAAACATCGTTCCACGAAACACGTGAAAGTCTTCCCTTTCGTTTTTCAAAACCATTCTTCAAAAAATAAATTCCCATCCAAATCCACAAGTGTTGCCTTCCAAAGAAAAAAAGTCCTAAAGGGAAAAATTCTCACCGTCGAATATCCATTATCAAAATCGACAAATACAAATAAAAAGGAAACGAATTTCGTCCGATATCGAATCTTTGATCGATCTTCTTTCTCTTCTTCTTCTTCTTCTCCTCTCCTGTTATGTTCACTCATTCGATGCTAAAAAGTTAAGGATCGGGCTCGTTTCGAGTCGACGGTACACCAATTAAATCCCACTAAACGTTTAATAAGATTACTGGAACCACTCGTTAATCCAACGAAAGCTTAGCTGCGTGGAACGTGGACAAGGGGTGAAACAGGTAGCCGGTTCAACGGGCTGGAAGCGAGGGTGTGAAGAGGCAGGCAATCCATCGACTCATGTGCACCCCCTATCGCGATTCCATCGACGAAACCATATATATATATACATAGATGCTCGCGACCACCCTCTCGACGAGGTCGTAACGCGAGGGAGACTCCACTTCGGCTCCTGCGAACGGTGCTCCTTATATTTAATGCAAAACATGATACGCGTTCAAGTTGCCAAAGGTTGTACGGTTACAAATTAGTTGTCGGCTTTACGCTCGAGCGTCGTTATTAAAATTCCATTGTCCATAGGGAGGATCGTGGAAATTCTTGGAAAATGGATATTTGCGGTATTTCGTCGAAAATTGAATCCGAAATTCGAAAAAAACGGATGGATCTTATATTTATTCGTCGCGTTATTTGTCGTTTCGATTATACCCGTTTCTGAATTATTATCATCGCGACGCGAAATAAATATAAAATATAACCCGCGGTGGGACGCGGTTGCCGCAATAAATGCCGCAACTCCTCGGATGAAAGGCAAATATTTTGCAGCGAAAAGTCGATATATCCGGGAAAAATTCGCTCGCGTGATCCAACCGACGGAGCCACGGTTTTTACCGAAAGATTTTCGCCGAAAGAAAAATCTGTTTCCCTCTCCCTCTCCCCCTCCGATGGAAAGCAAACAAGCTTCTCAAGATCCGCCGGGTTAACGCCCAATTATTTTTACGCGAATTATCCCCGGAATTATAAACAGGATTCGAATGAACGGGGGCGCGAGGGATCATTTGTTGTTGTTGTTGTTGTTGTTGTAGTCGCGGAATCGGATCGATCAGGGGGATCGAACGGCTTCAAGATCGAACAACGAAGACAAAGTAGGGCGGGGACCCGGTTTTAATCATCGAAATTGTAGTGCACGTTTGTTGGCGTGCCAATAAACGTTGGGGCTCGATTCACGCTCCGTGCATGTTTACCGATTATATACATATTCATCGGCTAGGCCGACCTGCTTGTCCCCGTATCCGGGGGATGATCCACCACCTTCCTCCCCCTTCCTCCTCCGCCGCCCGTTAATCCCGTGATTATAAAATCGAGGACGATCGAACAATCGGTTTTCCGGCCGACGAAAGCCCCCAACTTTGGGGAGGAGAAAGGGAGAGGGGGAGAGAGAGAGAGAGAGAGAGAGAGAGAGAGGGTCTTTCCTGACCGCGTACAATAATGGTTGGATCGGTGGCACGGGCTAAACGTTCGATCTTTTTTCTTTTTACTCTTCCGACTCGCGCAAGTGTCGAGGGAAATGAAATTTAGCGTGGATTAAACGGCGGTGGACGACAATAGAGCTCTCGCATCGAACGCCTCGATTTTGCACACCGTTGGCAATCGTTCGAGAGACAACGTGTTCAAACGTGTAACAACCACGACTTTTTGTTCCCCTACGCTGTTCCATGGAACACGGCTCGTGCTTTCTCCTCTCCCTCTTTTCTATCCCTTCTCCTTTGCCTCGAAAATTCACCACGTCACAGTGAAAAGTGTTTTCTCCTTGGTTTCGAGAACGTGGTTCGAATTGGTTCGAGGAAATTACACAGGGACTGGACAATAAATAATCATAGCGCAAAATGTCCATTTTCGCGCAACGAGAACGGTGCACCTGATCACTCCACCTTCGCTTTCTCTCTGGTTATAACGTTCGTTAAACAGTGGAGCCCATACAACAGAGCTTTCGGTGTTTTATTCATCGTTGGAGGAAACGAACGAATGAATAAATCTATGGGTTTGCCCTCTTTCATTTTCCTCTAATTTAGTCGAAATAGTCGGAACACACGGAGAAAAAAAATCGGGCGATTTTTCGCGATATCGGCGAGTCTTGGTCGTATCTTTCTTCCCTTCGACTTCCCTAAATATTCTCGAGTAATCGATCGCGACGAAGAGCGTGGAAGAGGAACGAAGGAGGAAACGAAGCAA